CTCATGGTTGTTAGACGGGAGATGAAGCTACATTCTTCAACAGATTTGACAGCATACAGGCATCTGAACAGACAGATCTCCAAATGCGTGCGGTGGGACTTATACAACTTCAATACAGCTCGTATTGAAGAAGGGATCGAGCGGAATCAAGGCTCCAAAGTCTTTGCCAGAGATCTGTTTGCCAGAAAGAGCCAACTGTCAAAGCTGAAGACCAAATGTGGCGGCATCGTTTCCGGCAAGGCCCCAGGCGAGGATGGAATTACAGCGGAGCTCCAGAAAGCGGGTGGAAAACCGGTACTTGAAGTGCTTCAGAAGCTCTTTAATTCCGTCCTCCATGGTGGCATTACACCGGAGGCGTGGAGCAGAAGTGCGGTGGTCTTATTCTTCAAGAAAGGCCACAACGCTCTCTTGAAGAACTACAGACTGATTTCCCTTCTGAGTCGCGTCTACGTGCTGTTTTCGACAGTCATTACGAATCGTCTCGCACGCAGACTAAACGACATCCAGCCTCCCGAACAAGCTGGTTTCCGAAAAGCCTTAAGCACCATAGACCACATGCATACCCTTCGGCAAATTGTACAGAAGTCCGAAGAGTACAATTTGCCACTATATCTGGCATATGTAGACTATAAGAAAGCCTTTGATTTCGTCGAAATTTGGGCGATGCTGCAGTCCCTTCAGCGGTGCCAAGTTGACTGTCGGTATATCAAAGTGCTGAAGTGCTTGTACAGTAGGGCTACGATGGTTATCCGAGTACAGAACCAGAGTACGAAACCTATCCAATTGCAGAGAGGTGTAAGACAGGGTGACGTCATATCCTCGAAACTTTTCACCGCTGCATTGGAAGCCATTTTCAAGCTACTGGACTGGAAAGGATACGGTATCAACATTAATGGCGAGTACATCACTCACCTTCGATTTGCCGATATTATAGTCCTTATGGCAGAATCGCTGGAGGACCTAAGCATTATGCTCAATGACCTCAATAATGCTTTCCAACGGATAGGTCTTAAGATGAACATGGACAAAACAAATACCATGTTTAATGTCCATGTCACACCTATGCTGGTAGTTGTTGGGAGCACTAAGCTCGAAGTTGTTGACGAGTATGTTTACCTGGGACAAATAGTCCGACTAGGTAAGTCCAGCTTCGACCGGGAGGTCAATCGACGGATATAACTCGGTTGGGCAGCGTTCGGAAAATTACGGCACATCTTCTCGTCAGGTATACCTCAAAACTTGAAAACGAGACTGTACACCCAGTGCGTGTTGCCAGTGATGACATACGGAACTGAGACGTGGTTCTTCACTGCTGGCCGGATGAGGAAGCTCAAGGTCGCTCAGCGAGCTATGGAGAGGGCTATGCTCGGAGTTTCTCTGCATGATAACCTCAGAAATGAGGATATCCGCAGTAGAACCAGAGTGACCGACATAGCCCAACGGATTAGTAAGCTGAAGTGGAAATGGGCTGGCCATATAGCTCGAAGAACCGACAACCGATGGGGAAGAAAGGTTCTCGAGTGGCAGCCTCGTACCGGCAGGCGAAGTGTAGGTCGTCCCCCCACTAGATGGAGTGACGACCTGGTAAGATATGCAGGAAATCGATGGATGCAGGTAGCTCAGGACCGTGCTTTGTGGCATTCCTTGGGGGAGACCTATATACAGCAGTGGACTTGTGAAGGGCTGTAATGGATGGATGATGGAAAAGGTGTAAAGCTTCAATAATCGGCTACTTAAGTCCTTTGTATTGCAATGTACTATTATTGTTTTTTCAATTTAAAGCCTTCCCTGATAGCGGTGCACCTTCCTAATAAACTACCAATTTACTTCAATCAAAAAACCGACTAGAGACAAATGAATTTCCTGATTTCAGTATGGAAGAGTTAGAGCGCCTATTTTAGCGTTTAACTATTCTGGACTCGGGCGAAATGGGAGCACTGAGATCTCTCAACGGCTTCAAGAACTTGTACGCGCCTGGTCGTACCGTTTTTTTCAAATTCCGAATCTCTGCCTTAAATCGTGAGTATATTTTTGTTGTTTGTATATATATTTAAACAAAAATATACATATATAAGACCTGGTAAGACATGCAGGAAGTCGATGAATGCAGGTGGCTCAGGAATAGAATAGAATAGAATAGAATAATTTTTATTCAATATACATTACATGTGTAATTCTTATTGAAAGTCATTTTTAACTTTACCACTGGTTTGAAAAAAAAAACCCTCTGTCCTGGGAAGAACCAGCAAGAAACCCAGCGGGACTTTTTGTTAAATTAATTTTACAATATAAATGATTACGAACTATTTACAAAATTTATTTTAGAAACTGCTTGGAAGCGACCACCTCATTCTTAGGGGTTATTATAAACCATGTATTCATTTATACTATAATAACCCTTTTTATACAGTTTCGGCTTAATAAAACATTTAAACTTGGTAATAGAGAGAACCTGTACACTTTCCGGGACCTTGTTGTAATAGCGTATACATTGCCCCAAGAATGAATTACTGATTCTGTGGAGTCGAGAAACTGGTATCACCAGCCTGTGCTTGTTCCTAGTGTTTACAGAATGTATATTACTTTTTTTACTAAAACTACCTTTGTTTTTGTGAACATACATTAAATTTTCGTAAATATACTGAGAGGCCAAAGTTAATATATTTATATCTTTAAATTTATCTCTAAGAGACTCTCTTGGTTTTAGATTGTATATAGCTCTAATGGCCCTCTTCTGTAAAACAAAAATAGTTTCTGAATCAGCCGCATTTCCCCATAGCAAAATCCTGAGAACATGAAGACATTATGCTATGGAAATAACTGAAATAAACTAATCTTGCTGTCTCGACACTAGTGAGACCTCTAATCTTTTTTACAGCATAGGCTGCAGAACTTAGTCTGCTTGTTAATTTGGATATATGGGGGCCCCACTGAAGCTTTGCGTCGAGAGTGATGCCAAGAAAAACAGTGGATACAACAGGGCTCAGTTCCTCCCAATTTAAAAACACATTGGTATTCCGATAATAACAGTGGTAGAACCACGCGGCAGCTTCTGCTGTCGCACGGATGGGCCGGTTTGAACCGGGGTGGTACCACGACCTCACAGAATACCAGCGTGAAGTAGAGGTTTACCTCTGCGTTTCGCTTGGTGAGTGCAGGTGGCCGGAGGCCCTTTTTGCTGGAAATGAGGCATTCCATCTTAGGCTTCACGGGTGACAACGCATCTACATTTTGATATGTAATAGAGGATAGATGTAGATGTATATGGGCCGCAGCAACCACTTACCATCAGGTGGACTGTGTGCTCGTTTGTCATCCTTAACCTATAAAAAAAAAGATTTTAACATTCGTTTTTGTAAATTTAACACAATTAGTTTTATTTCCGTTCAAATGCAGATTATTAACGTTAAACCAATGCACTAATTTTGATATAGCATTATTCACTTCGTCACATTTAAATGATTGCCGTTTATGTTTAAAAATCAAGGAAGTATCATCAGCAAATAATACTATATCATGACTATCCCCTACAAGGTGAGGTAAGTCATTAATATACACCAGAAACTGGAATGGGCCAAGAATCGAGCCCTGAGGAACACCCATTGGTACAGGTGACCCGGAAGAACTTTTACCATTGATAGTAACCTTCTGTTTTCTATTACTTAAATATGAAATAATAAGTTTAAGCGCTGTGTTCTTGACACCATAGTACTGTACCTTCCTGATTAATGTCTCATGGTGAACACATTCGAAGGCCTTGGAAAGGTCATAAAATATACCCAAAGCATCCTCTGAATTCTCCCATGCACAAAAAATATGTTTAATAAGCTCAACTCCAGCGTCAGTTGTCGTGCGACCCCTTGTAAAACCGAATTGATTTTTATGTTGCAATTTATTAATATTAAAGAAACTTAACATCTGATCTAAAATAATTTTTTCAAAAATTTTACTTAATGTTGGTAGTACAGAAATCGGTCTAAAATTGGCGGGGTCTGATGTACTACCAGATTTAAATATAGGTATGACTTTACTATGTTTAATTAAATGAGGAAACACACCAGATTCGACGCTTATATTGCACACTTATATTGCACATGCAGGACTGTGGTTTGTGGCATTCCTTCGTGGATGTCTTTTTTCAGCAAAAACTTTGTGAAAGTCTGTAATGGTGATGATGATGACGATACATATTATATATGAAATAGCATGTGTGGAGTCATTTTATATAATTTCATTAATTCATTACAGCCTATCAAAGTCCACTGCTGAGCAAAGTCCGATATTCGAGTGTCCGATATCCGAGTGTCCAATAACCGAGTGTCTAGAAAACGCGCTGGCTGCAGCCTAGCTTACCCGCTATAGCACCGCACGGGCGCTTCTGCGACTATAGTGTAGTTTTGTAAAATATATATTTTTTTATCTATGACTTTAGTCTTCAGAGGTGACAACGTGGGGTTTTGGCGGGAAATTGACCGGCGGCGGTTTGCTGCTCCTGTATTATTGTTTAAATAATGGTTTGAAGTGGACTTTGATATGTAAAAGTGTTGCGATTTTGTGTATTAAGTGTCTACGCATGTGAACTATTAGTGGAAACAGTGAAACAAGTGCTCTGATGGTGATGGATTCTCAAGATAAGCTGTTTGTTTGCATAGGCACCTTTAGATACCATCGCCAACTATCAGCTGTCTGCTGGATCAAGTTGCCGCCAAAATCTCCCAAGAACTGCACAATGTGACGCATCAACATATTGTGAAGCAGTATACTATGAAGGAGTGGGGAAATTACAATAAACCGAATAAAAATACTTAAGACTTGGCCTAAAGGTCTAGATACCAGGCCATAAACTCCAAAAAAAAAAAAAGAGGTGACAACGTATCTGTAACCTTTTGTTGTTTGAAGTCAGATGCAGCTGTTCATAAGCAGTGGACGCTTGCCATATAGATATGGCATAGACTGTTTTAGCACGTTGTAACTTCAATGTTTAAAAGCACAAAATTTGGATGTTGGAAAAGAATGAAAGATGCAATATTAACTTGACAGGTACTTTTTATAGTTTTCCATAAGGATTGGTAGAAACTTAATTTACTGAATCATATTTTAATATTCAGCCGCTGCTGAAACTTTAAGAGTGCAGTCGCTAAAGGACTCCATGTACCGCGAGTTTAGCTGTTTCGTGAGCAATGAACATTTGGTAAGTTGTAGTTAGAATTACTCACAGTTTTGAGGTACATACTTAACATTTATATGTTTTAATATATAAATAGACAGACCTTTTGTTGATCGCAATACATTTTACCCCTCGGTAATCTAGTTCTGAGATTTTAAATTGGATATATCTGAGATTATGATGAGATGAGATCGGCGTATGCGTAAGAATATCAACTACCCCCACTTTTAAAAACATCTTAGACTAGTCCGTATTATCTCATCGGTGCGAGGGGGGTAAATTTAAACAGGACATGGGCAGCAGCATCTACTTGACAACAGTTAAAATAATAAAAACTGTGGTTATCAAGCACGCCTTTACGCCGTAAAAGTTTTAAAGAGACACATTTTTTTTCGACGTAGTTGACGAATCATAACTTTTAGCCATAATTTATATATAAATAAAATTCCAAATACCCTCCATTATACACAAACTCACAATTTTTTTATAGGAGAGGGGGCAAACGAGCATGCGGCTCACCTGATAATAAGTGACTACCGCCGCTCATGTACAACTGCAACAGAAGGGGAATTGTAGGGGCGTTGCCGGCCTTTAAGAAAGAGTAAGCTTTTTTCTTGAAGGTCCCGTAGCTGCAGCATGGCTCTACCACATCAAAAAACCGTGCGTCTTACCCGTTTCGTCAAACTCAATTCTAAATATCTAGGATACTAAGTAATTACAATACCAAATTTTTCATCTATGTTGAATATAGTTTGCCTTTTTTTATAGGATAGGGTGACACACAGTCCACTTGATGGTAAGTGGTTGCTGTGGCCCATAGTCATCTACATCTATCCTCGCTTGCGAATCAAAATGCAGATGCGTTGTCACCCGTGAGTACTAAGATGGAATGCCCTTTTTTCCAGTAAAAAGGGTCTCCGGTTCTCTACACTTACAATACGAAACACAGCAGTTTTAGGCTGATATTTTAAACTGCTATTTTACGCTGGTATTCTGTGAGAGCGTGGTCCTTCCCCGGTCGAGCCGACCCATTCGTGCTACAACTATTGCCTGCCTACTCATGCTTTAAAGCAAGTCGTTATCAAAACGTAGCATGTTAATTTTAAACATTCAAACACACACCAACAACAAACAAAAACACACAGTCACACAGACAGACACACAGACACACATGCACACAGACGCACAGACACACACAGACACGCAGACAAACAGACATACAGACACACAGTCACAAAGACGCAGACGCACACAGACACAGCCACACACACAGACACAGTTACAAACACACAGACACACACACACACACACAGACACAGATAAACACACACACACACACACACACACACACAGACACAGACACAGACACAGACGCAGACGCAGACGCAGACGCAGACGCAGACGCAGACGCAGACGCAGACGCAGAAGGAGACACAGATACACACAGACACATATACACACACACAGAACACACACACGCAGACAGTTTTAACAGTGGTAGAGCCATGCGGCAGCTTTTGCTGTCGCACGGATGGGCCGACTCGAACCGGGGTGGAACCACGACCTCATATAATACCAGCGTGAAGTAGAGGTTTACCTCTGCATTTCGCTTGGTGAGTGCAGGTGGCCGGAGGCCCTTTTTACTGGAAATGAGGCATTCCATCTTAGTCCTCACGGGTGACAACGCATCTGCATTTTGATTCGCAAACGAGAATAGATGTAGATGTCTATGGGCCGCAGCAACCACTTTCCATCAGGTGGACTGTGTGCTCGTTTGTCACTCTTATCCTATAAAAAAAGACACAGACACAGACACAGACGCAGACGCAGGCACAGACACAGACACACAAACAGGCACACACACCCACACCCACACACACACACACACACACACACACACACACACACACAGACACAGATACACACACAGACAGACCACACACACACACACAGAGACACACATACATACAGACACACATACACGCAGACACACAGACACAATCAAAGACACGCGAACACACCGGCACACAGACACACAGGCACACAGACACACAGACACACCGGCACATAGACACACACACACACAGCACACAGACACACAGATACACACAGAGACACACACACAGACACAGGCACAGAAACACAGACACACAGACACACCGGCACGCAGACACACAGGCACACAGACACACAGACACACAGGCACACAGTCAAACAGACACAGACACACAGGCACACAGGCACATAGACACAGACACACATACACACATACACACAGACACACATACACAAAGACACACAGACACACAGTCACACAGACCCCCCCCCCCAAACACACAAAAAGAGAGAGAGAGAGAGAGAGAGAGACATACAGACACGCAGACGCACAAACACACATAAACGCGGACACGCAGACACGCAGACACGCAGACACTCAGATATGCAGACACGTAGACACACAGACACGCCGACATACAGCCACGCATACACGCCGAAACACAGACACACATAAACACATACACACGGACACACAGACAGACAGACACACAGACACACAGAAGCGCAGACACACATACACGCAGACGCACAGATGCACAGGCAAACACACAGACACACATAAACACAGATGCGCAGACACACAGACACGCAGACACACAGAAACAGTCACACACACAGAGACACAAACACAGACACACACACACACACAGACACTTTAATTTTATTTATATGTGTACAGATGTGATTATTTCTTTACCTAGACAACTCTGTGGTTCACAATAACGGAGAAGCTGGCGTTTAACGTGATTTTTGTAAAACTGAGACTACTGGCAACTGAGTTCGATGATATCGTGGAGGAATACTCTGCTTATGACGGCAATATCGAAGATGCCTTCATGAAATTTTTGCAAGAGAGCCGTAACACGATCAAACCGAAGGAGACTTGGTAGAATATTAGCTAATTGCAAATTGCTTATTAAAAAGCTGTACTCAATAATTGTGAATATTGACAACGTATCCCAAATATGACATAATTTACCAGTATTTACCGTTGACTTCTTTTTTGCATTTATATCAAAATATTTCTCTATTGTGATTTTTTTTAGTTAATAAAATGTTGTGTTAAGAGTTTGTGTTATTGTTAAATAATAAAAGTGTATTGATAAGAAATAGGTAAAAGAACCAGTTTATTTGGTACTAGCTGTGCCCCGCGGTTTCACCCGCGTATATCACGCATCTGCGCCTTGCGACATGCGAACTTCGAGAGAGACATCACGACGGACAGTTGCTGAATTAACAAAGATTTAAAAAGTGAAATATGTTACTAAAATTACATGGTTAACGTAATTGGTGGTTATGCATGATACAGGTACTGATACGAATAATGTCTAGGCCACATTATTCGTATCAGTACATATTAGTAGTATTTGTACCGGCGTTACTATTTCACATTTTAACATGAAAAAGTAGTTATTGTGATATAATTGTAATAGTTAAACATATGGTATCGCAGACTTTTTTGTAGATATTAATATCCTCTATATAAGTGAAGTACATTACTTTGCTCTATTATCAATATTTTCCACAGGATAAGGATTCTTTTTGGTATTTTTTTCACACCTTGGGTTACATTAACGAAGTTTTCATACGGATCCCTAACTTTTTGAAAATATTACATAGCCTATGTTCATCAGGGATAATGTAGGATACTAATGAATGACCGATTTGAAAAAAATTTTTCAAATCGGTCCAGTAGTTTCGGAGCCTATTCAATTCAAACAAACAAACATACAAACAAACAAACAAATCTTTCCTCTTTATAATAGTAGTGTAGATATACAATATAACAAATAGAAAAAAGCAATAAAATAGAAAAACTAAACTTTTCATCCATATCATATAAAAAGGATAATATGCACCAAAAATTGTCTCTTCATGAATCCTATGGTAATAATATTATAATATTAATAATAAAATATGTATGGCGTTTTCCGGGACAAATTTAAGTTTGTCCCAGCCGGATATTACGCGAAAACTGACGGAGTGCATAGACGATAAGAAACAGAGAATCGCTGCTTGGGGAAAAGCGGATTCATTGATATACCGAGAGGTCGACACGGTTCACCAGAACCAGACACCAGAATCGTCTCTTTCAGTGTGATCCGAAGAGAATCTATAAATCATTGGAGCTACCAATGGTATGTGGAACGGGCCAAGCACGGAATCAGGTTGACACTGTTGCATTCTGGCGCAGCCATGGTCAAAACCCGTAAACCACATGTAACGGTACATCTGAATGCACCTTCCTAAAATCTATCTATATATAGATCTTCAATCCTAAATAATAATAGTAATATAATATTCTAATCTAAAAATAAAAAGTAACGAATTATTACATATTGTAAATATAAAATAGTTATTCTACGGAACCATAGACTAGTTAATTTAATTCACGCAGCGTGAACCATTTTGCTCAAAGATCTCTAAAACAAAAGACTCGGTAGGATTCGGACACGACGACGAGTCCCCGTTCGGGCCATTCCTCTTTCATTTCTACCTGAGACCGCTTCAAGTTCACAACGCGCGTGACCCTCCTACTAATGACCGTTGAACCTGTTTAGTTTAGTTTAGTTTACGACGGGCTGTTTTCCGCAACTCCACGTCTATGCGCGTATTTTGCGTGTGGGCAGGAATAATGTGATTATTCGAGCCATGAGATCTCCCCGAAGAAGCTCAACAGTCCCTTGATGTTGCATGCAACTTCGGGGAGTGATCCCGGCGTGCCGAGATGTTTAGCCCTGTACGTAGCGACCTCCGGACATTTCAGTAGCACGTGGGCCGCCGTTTCTTCCTCCCCCATACATGCCCTGCACAGGGGACTATCTGTAACACCTATAGTAAATAAATGTTTGTTAAAGGCGCCGTGTCCTGTGATAGCACTTGTTACTATCCTGATCTGCGGCTTGTTCAGTCTCATTAAAACTTTGGTTAAGCGACTGTTTATTTCAGGCAGGGCCTCCCTAGCTTGTCTACAGTCTACTAGATTTTTCCAAAGCTGAGCGTGTTGATTAGTGAAGTGTCTACGTACCAGTGAACGAACGTTACCAAAGGGGATTGGTATGATTGGTTCCGGCCCTATAGTGGCCAGAGCCGATCCTCTTCTGGCCAGTTCGTCTGCTGCATCGTTGCCTCTGGATCCACTGTGTCCCTTTATCCATTGCAGAGTCACATTGTTGTTTTTACATACCTCATTTAATCGTTGATGGCATTCATATATTAGTCCCGAGTTCACCACATTGCAACTCAGAGCTTGTAGTACCGCCCTACTGTCTTAATCCTGTCGGCTTAATCCTTCCGGCTGGCTGTTTTCATTTAATTGTATCTTGTATTTCTTATCGAAAACAAATTGTTTAGGAATCCTATCGTATTTGGCTTGTAGGATAGGAATTTTTGAGTGAATTCTATCAATTATGCCTGTATGAGGGACACTATTCTTACTCCAAAGATTTAGGGTCTTGAGTCTGATGGCAGCTAAAGTCGCTTCTTGTTGTATATGTAGATGAAGCGGAGTTAGCTCCAGCATCGCTTCTAAGGCTGCTGTTGGCGTAGTACTTATGCAGCCTGTGGCAGCCATACATGCCAGTCTCTGGTAGCGCTGAAGCTTCTTAATTGTGGTGGCTTCATTTGTCTTGGTCCACCATACCAGAGCGCCGTATGTGATCATGGGCCGAATTACAGTTTTGTAAAGCCACAGTATGATTTTTGGCGTCAGTCCCCATCTTTTGCCAATCATGTTTCTGCATTGCCAGAAAGTTATACTAGCTTTGTTGATTTTGTTTTCTATGTGTTTATTCCAGTTAAGTTTGCTGTCCAAGGTAAGACCTAAATATTTTACCACAGAGGATAGCTGGAATTTTGTGCTAAAAAGACTTGGAGGATGATAGTTATTCAGCTTTCGTTTTTGTGTGAACATTACTAAAACCGTTTTATTTGGATTGACGGTTAAGTCGTATTCCCTGCACCATCTCTCCACTATACGGAGAGCCGCTTGGGTCAGGTCGCACACTATCCTTGCTGTCTTTCCAGAGACCAGTATTGTCAGGTCGTCAGCATAACCTACTGTATAGAAGTGATTGGCATTTAATTTGCTGATGAGTTCATTAATGACCATATTCCACAGGAGAGGTGAGAAAACCCCACCCTGCGGGCAGCCTTTCTTAATTTGGATTGATTGAGATTCACCAGCAATCTATATTATTCGTGTACTGAGCATGTGAACTATCCAGTCGATCAGTGCCGGTTCAACTTTATGTCTACTGAGTGCACCTTTTATGCTGGAGAAGTTCGTTCTGTCAAAAGCACCTTCTATATCTATGAAGGAACCTAGACATATTTCTTTGTTTTGGATGGCCTCTTCAATCTTTGTAATTACCTGATGAATGGCCGATTCTGTTGATTTGCCTAGACAGTAGGCGTGTTGCTTATCGTGTAGTGGTAAGTTCATTAGCGCCGACCCCCTTAATTCCCTTTCACACATCCTCTCCATCGTCTTTAGGAGAAAGGATGTGAGGCTAATGGGCCTGTAGGATTTAGGGTCAGTGTAGTCGCTCTTACCTGGTTTGGGTATGAATATAACTTTCACTTCCCTCCATCCCCTAGGAACATATTTAAGAGCCAGACAGGCTCGCATTATGGCAACAAGTCTGATTATTAGGGCTTTACCCCCCCACTGTAGGAGTGCCGGGAATATGCCGTCAGGTCTTGCCGCCTTATAGGGGAGGAAACTGTGAATGGCCCATGGGAAGTGCGTTTCAATTAGGATGCGTTGGGCTTCATCCGGCGATGTTGAGTAGCTACCGTCAGGTTTCTTTAGAGACATGGATCCCGACGTGTTCTGTTTAGCTAGAATATTCCTTATCCTATTTGCTTGTTCGCAGGTTTCTATGTTGCCACAGAATTTACGCCACCCAGTCGAGCGCCGATACCTGATACATTTTTTGTATTTAGACTTAGCTTTCTTATATAGTAGCCAGTCTTCATCAATTGAGGTATTCATGGCCCTATTTAGGGCTTTTCTTACCTTCTTACGTTTCCTACCGAGTTCTTTGCACCACCACGGTTGCTTTACCTCGGCATGTCTTGGTGGAGTGATTTCTGGACATGATTCATGGTAGCTGTCTATCATGGTCTTAGTAACAGCTGCTACCTGTTCTTCTAGGAGCGACTGATCTGCTATAGTAGTTATCCCCTCAAAATCCGCGAGCAAAGACGTCAGCCTATTTAGGTATTTTGTTTTATCCGTCTTGCGGGGATTTCTCCATGGTGGTGTAGAGGGGATATCGACCTGTAGTGCGAAGCAGATCCATCTATGGTCTGAGCATGAGGCCTCTTTCGACACATGCCATCCCGTAATTAGTTTGGGTGCTCCTTCTGTTGCAAGTGTGAAGTCGATTATAGTGCGACAGCGTTTGTTTATGAAAGTAGGTTCAGAACCTATGTTTAAAATGGTTAGGTTAGTACTAAATAAATATTCAACTAAAACCTTACCTCGTTCATTTGGTTTTTCCATTCCCCAAAGGGTATGATGTGCGTTGGAGTCCGTCCCGATCACAACCTCTAGTCCGGTCCTCTCGCAGAAGTTCACCAGCCTGCCGAGGTCATGAGGGGGAGGAGTGTCTTCCTCCGGCATGTAGACCGAGGCGACGACTAATCTTCTCTCCTGTGTGTATTGTATTGCCACGGCATACATGTCTCTAGAACAGAAATCTGTTAATGGTTGTGCACAGATATCTTTAGTAGTGTAAATACACGCTCTAGGCTTGTTGTGTTCAGAGGTGTAGAATAGCTTACCTTTTAGGTTGTTTAGGCCTTTAATTTTACCAGCCCCAACCCACGGCTCCTGGCTTAAGGCTATGGCAGTCCTTTGAACCTCCAACCACTTGCGTGATTG